AATGAAAGCTCAGTTACAAAATATATTTTCATGTCACCACCAGAAGTGGAGACATATTGTTAAAGTCAACTTCTTTGTGGATGGCGTTCAGCAGTTGATGTGTGGCGTTCGCCAACTGTAACAATCTTCACAATCATATTACTATAATGTTTAGGTTAAAATGATATATGTGTCTATGTGAGACCAATTTGTAAATTAAAAATTGATATTGATCAATTTTGTTCAAGTTGATTAATACACCAAAAGCGTAAATGTACCCACGGTAATGAAATACCTAATTAATTATAGCCCAAAATAGAAGTCAACAAGCTGAGAAACCCATTCCAAAAAATTAAAAAGGAAATTAACACCCCAAAATAAATAAAATTGAACCGTAAAATTAAAAAATACCCTAAGATTGAAAAATTCGCCAATATAAATCTTCGCCAAAATTTAGAATGAATCCCCAGGAATTATCTAGGGTATTTCGTCCAGTGTATTAAGGTCACTTCCGGTTTAGTTTTTTCCAAAAATATGAAAAAATGTCTCTCATAAATTGGCTCAGAACTGGTCAGTCACTCATTAATACTCAGGGAAAAACTAGAAAGGAAAGGGGTGGTTTAGTAGCAGCATTGATCGAGGAACAAAATGTAATGGATGATCTCACAAAAATGTACAAACGTGGTGAATATCGCCAGTGGTCCTCAAAAGAAAAGATGCCCATTCACATGGTAATTCGCAAACAGCGTGTAAGTCTAACATTGCATTAACATTTTTTTGCATATCCGCCAAATTAAATAGCCGCCAATATGCCAAAAATGGCAATTTCGCCAAATTAAGTAGCGCCAAATTAACCCAATCTACAGTATTAGATTTACTTGAATAATAGAAATCAAAGTAGCAACAAAGCACTTACCATTTTGCTTCTGAATGTGTGATCCCAAAATATAAGTTGTTCAATAAGACTTGTTGCGTTCCAATGGAGCAGCTAGTCACTTATAACAGCTGCAAAATGTTTCTACTGGTTTTATATTCAAATATGATGACAACACTTTTGGCATAGATACCAAAACCCACAGGTAAAATACCTGTGATATTTCAAATAAAACTTGAATAAAACAAAAAGTGACCATGTAATGGTAAATTTTATGGAACTTATTAAAGTTCAGTCCTAAAATTGAATAAAAAATGTTGTTTAGAAAATATAACCTTTTTTCAACTAATAGAAAAAATAGAATAGAAAAAGTAATTCTTGAGTGCTATTTAAGGGAAAGCAATACTTAAAATCCAATAATCAAATTGATGAACACAGTAGCCCTCATATCACCTGTCATGGCCCAATTAGCACAGTCTACTTGATACCAGCATTTGGTTTCCTAATTAAGTTATTGTATATTTGAATCTCATACTCACAAATCCCAAGGAGCTTATCACAAAATCCTTTGGAAAGTCCAATAAATACCCCACCGAACATAGTTCCAGAGGGATATAGCAGAGCAGACTGTCCATTTATTCATCTGTCTGGGCAATAACTCAAATACCAGTTGACGGATCAGGTTCAAATTTTATAGGCTGATGCCTTATGGGGATTTGATCTCTGAATTTTCAATATGCCTGCCAGATTTAAAATGACTGGCATTTTTCTTAAAGAATGTTATAGGACATTGGACTACTATTACTATGTTATGCTCAAAGTGATGTTTTTTCTAGTATGGTAAAACCTGTCAAAGTGGAACACATTTGATACCTCTAAAAAGTGTTCCACTTGTGAGATGTTCACTCAGAGGTTCACTCAGAGGTTCATTAAACATTAAGTCATTTAGTCTTGGGACTGAAAATTGTTCCACTGCTAGAGGTTTTCCACAGATTTCACCGTATAAATCTACATTATATTTGTTTTATATATATATTTACATTGTATTGTTTTTGTTTTTTTTAATGTAGGTGTCCCAGACAATTCCAAGGTCCCAGCAGCGGTCTCAAATAGCTATACCTGCCCAGGGCATGATTGAGTTTAGAGATGAATTGACAGCCCTGCTGGATGAATTTGGAACTGATGACCATGGTGAGTAAACTGTTTTTCCACATGTTTTCATATATGTTAATATATATTGTCTTTGAACTCCCATATATTAGTACATTTTAGCCTAATCAACATTGTTCAACATTATTTTTGTTATTTTAGAAACTCAAGGTGATCTGCCAGAATCTAGGTCAATGAGGGTAGAAAATAAAATGTTTTACTTTGATGTTGGGTCAAATCGTAGAGGTGTGTTTCTCAGAGTCTCAGAAGTAAGTACATTTTGGGGACATGTATCTAAGACCTTCACTGTGATCTCAAAGAATAACTTTGATAGAGACATTTGTCATCGTTCATTCCATCCATCTGTCCAGGCAATTTCTCAAATATAAGGATGGACTGATTTTGTTCATACAGTATTTGGTTTGAGGATGTTTCTGATATTGTAAATGTTTCTCCATAAAATAATCAAACTGACAGCTATTTCTAAAATTATATGTAACTCCTTGAATACCAGATCATTTCAAAGTTAAAGCCATTTTAGTGAGAAAATTCTGTGACTGATACATCAATCACTCTGGCCATTCAAGGGGTTAAACCAAAAACAAGTATTGCAGGTATTTCACAACAAAGAAAGTCTTTTCAAAAGTTCGATTAGAACATCTTTAACCTTTGGTATGGAACAATTTCAGTTTGGTTTCAGAACACAAAAGGAATGTAGGAGCTTTCAACTTTGTAATCAGCTTCATCATTCAGGTCTCAAAACCCAGTTTAACTCTTTAATAAGCTCAGCCTATAAATTAACAACCTATTTTCCTGAGCATGAAAATTTCCAGAAAAGTATTATTGTCCATGTAGAAGAGACTCCTTATTGTCTTCTGATTTTGTTTTAGGTACGGACTAACTTTCGCACTGCCATCACCATTCCAGAGAGGTCATGGACAAGGTTTCGAGACATGATGAATGAGTTTGTAGAAAGACCAAGTAGTAGCTGTAAAGAAGAGACTAATTAACTTGTTTAGTATTTAGGTTGGTATTTTCATCTTATCTGTTCTTATAGAATGTCAAACTTTTTATTTCTCTGTAATTCTACACTTCCTTGTTTGTATGCCCGCATGTTTGAAATTATTTTCTCATCTCAAAATTCAACAGAATTCAGGGAATCAGGGGAATTTTGACTTGATAATGTGGCAAGGCATTAGCATATAAAGTTAGAACAAATTAGAAAAGCAGTATTTAGGTTATCAAAAATTATATTTTTCTGAAAATGGTGGCCATTTTGAATTCAGCAGCCATCTTGGAATCCCTTGTCGAGTAAACCTATACTGAAAGGCATCAGCACTTGAATTAGGAATTTTAAATAGTGTCGCCTGAAATTGAATCCAAATTGTAATTAGCAAATAACAAATAACTTCTTGTCATGTTAACACTTGTTTAAGTTAGTTTAGTTTAGTCTATTTTACAAGTAAAGCGTATTTCTTGACTCTTGCATTAAATCCTTTCAGGCGGAGGGAATGTGCTTGGTGATTGGTGATGTCAGCAGTTTTGCAGCTCAACCATTGATGACATCACAGCTTTATGACTAGATGACTGACTATAGAGGCCTCTAATATAATGTGGTGCTGGTCGAGGAGTAATGAGAGAGCTGCTGAGTGCAGGCTATCACCAGTCTGGTGTTCAGGAATGTAACAGCAAATAAACTTGACATGACACATCAATGACTGTTCCAACTCACACTTGTTGAGGGAAACATACTAGAAACTACGCTCAAGTTTGGATAAATCAGGAGGAATAACGATATGAACATTATATAATGCTTGTGAATTGAAAGAAACACTGTTCGGATGGTAAATGAAACATTGCTAAGAAAGTATCGATAAGTTTGTATGATTTATTTTTTCGGTGTGCATGTAGGCTTTCACCTATGAGCCAAATGTTTGCGTGCATACTGTACGCAGTTACAATAGCTACATAGCTATTTTGGGTTAATGATAAACAGTTGTAAGAATATTCCACAATCTGACTCAGTTGAGACAGGCAGGTTTGTTTGATCCACAGTGCATCCTTCCTTACATCATATCATGTGGCACATTTCCTTTGACCTCCAAGTATGTACTGTATACTAGATACATGGAGTAGTGCTTATTTCATGAATCCTGCCTACATTGCAAGTTAGTGTCCCTCATAATTATTATTCTTTTGCAGCTCTATACCTTTTAGAGTATAAACCGGACTCCATGAATCGCATCATATATGTAGATTTAGAGGTGAAGGTGTGATTTGATTGCTAGCACAGAGGGCACATTTATTCAAAAATACGTCATTAAATGCCATCGGAAATAAACTCACCGTTGAAGCAACTATACTTCTGCATCTCTAAAATACAATGATTAACAGTCATCAAGGCAGATGATGTTATTTTGGAGAAATTTGCCCACTGCGTAGTATCAACAGAGAACTGTTGGAAGCAAAAAAGGTAGCAGATGTTATCATGTATGCTGTTCAGTGTTCGTAAAATGATGGGACTTCGAGGGAATCCTAAAATATCTTTATCACAAAGTTTGTGATTCTGTACATTATATTGTTTTCATATTTTAAACTTGGTTGCATTTAGAAAAATCCAGGTTAGAATTAGGGGTCAGATGGTTTCATTTTTGGTTCAGTTCAGTTTTTGAATCCCTCAGTTCGGTTTTCTAATATCTAATACCTAATACTAAACACTTAACTGTTAAAAACTAATATGCGTCAGCTAATTCTGTTTCTTGGACACTAAATATCTTCCACATTCAGTGGCAGACACTAATTGAACTATGTTATTTTAGAGAGCATACCTTTATGAACTTTAATTTTCCAGCAATTGACATTTTGTTATAAAACCGAACTGAATGATTTTTCCGAATCGATTAAAACCGCGAGGCCAATGGCTGTTGGAGCTCCTTTGTTTCGCTTAACCATCTGGCCCCTAGTTAAAATATTTCTAAGATATTCACTGTGAAGTTTAATCAGTTAAGGCTCCTATTGTACATGTATCATGATGTTTTCACAATACACATTGAATATGTACTGTGATGTATTCATTTTACATATTGTATGTATATTATGAGGCATTCACCTTACATATTTAATTATGTACACAATGCATTCACCTTGCACATATTTAATTATGTACATGATGCATTCACCTTGCACATATTTAATTATGTACATGATGCATTCACCTTGCACATATTTATTATGTACATGATGCATTCACTTTACATATTTAATTATGAACACGATGCATTCACCTTGCACATATTTAATTATTTACATGATGCATTCACCTTGCACATATTTAATTATGTACATGATGCATTCACCTTGCACATATTTAATTATGTACATGATGCATTCACCTTGCACATATTTAATTATGTACATGATGTATTCACCTTGCACACATAAGGTGATTCTGTGTACAAGGGAGACCTATGTAGTGTGGAATTTGTATCATTTAACAATATGTTTGTATATGTAGGTGAAAAGCATTTATAAGCATATACGGTGCGTGGTTGAGATGATTTGAAGCAACTTACTGGTGATTAAAGGCAATGTTAGGACGTATAGGTCCTGGTGAATGTCTGACTCTACAGCTGTATACAGCATACAGCTTTATGCTGTATAATCTATGATGGAGTTGAAACACTACATCAACCCTAGTGCAGTACTAATTCTAGTTGACACTCTACAACTAGATAATGGTTCAATTTAGTCAATCAAGACTGAGCAGTAGAACCAAACCCCTAGCATGTACTGTAATATGCAATAGGTTTGCGTTCGTATATTGTCAGACAGATTCCAGTTGTGTCATGCTATATGATATGTCTGATAAGTAACTCAACCCTACTGCTTTTCTTTTTACCTGCATACATCTGATTTAAGCTATAGTATTATGGTGCAAATATTTATGCTTCACTTCTTATCTGTTACCAGAGAAGTTATAGTTTAAGTGATTACCTGTGTTGTGTTTGAGGTTTGTGATTGGTTGATTTACTGTGAAGGTGTAGGTACATGTGATTTGATTGGCACAATACATGCATGCACGCACACATACTATGGACATTGAGAATTTTACATTTATGTAATATTAAATCCAGACTTATGTTTTTAGTTTAGAAATACAGTACTAAATTGTATTGCATATGCATTGTACACTATATATCAATTAACTTTATCATAATGGTGACCTATTATAAGGTACATTCGGACTCATAGTCTCTATTAAGAGTCCATGGATTAACTTAGATGAAAAATGCTATTTCAATGTTTATAGAACATAACTATATAAACTACTTATTTTTTCAAATTTATTTCTCAAGTAGAAGTATTGTTAATGTTGACCCGATATTGACCAGTCATTAGAACAAGATAAGTGCAGAGGTACTATATCATGTACATTTTGAAACTTAAAAATATCTTTAAATGTATGAAAATACAATCCAAAGTGTTACTTGCCTTGTCTATCAGTTACGGTAAATTATTAGTTGATAGTAGTAGAATTCTTGAAATAAATCTTAATTATTAATGCCATATGTATATCAATGAAAATTTAGCTTTCAGGCAATTAAAAAGTGTGTATTAATGTTTGGTCAATTGAGGGTTACAGGCAAAGTCTCCGGGGAGAGAATGTATAGAAGAGCAAAGGTTTGTTTATGGTACAAACATATCTTTGTGTCGAAAAACACTCCTCTACTTTTGCCAAACAAGCTGTACATAGGTATATAGGTAAAATGTTCATAAAGAAATAATAATAATACTGTACAGAAGCCTAATGTATAAATTTAGGCATTAGTGTCCATTCATTCTAAAATCTTTCATTTTCTGTCAATTACAGCCATTGAGCTTGTCAGAAGTTCAAAAGGAAGATATGAAGATAGCAAATAGGAGATTTTAGGTGTGAATAGGTTATCAACGTTAAAATATTTTCATTTTGGGGATGTAGCTAGGTTAATACTATATTAGCAGCATTATATATATAAAAGCCCCAGGTGGGCTCTAGGATCAGAGAGTAGCTAAGATAAGCAACTACTCCAAGTGTCATGTGCTTCAAAAAGCTACAATCACTGCCATTTTACCACAGACATAGCAATGTCAGTTAGGTTGTCTGGTTTAATCACAGAAAGAGCAATGCTAACTGGCTATTCTGATTTAACCACAAACAGCAATGCCAGCTACCTGTTTTGGTTTAACCTCAAATATAGCAATGTCAGCTAACTGGTCTGGTGAAGCAACGGAAATAGCAATGCAACCTGTCTGCTCTGATTTAACCACAGACTGCAATTACCAGCTTCCTGTTTTGGATTAACCAGACATAACAATGCCAGCTCTTTGTTCTGGTTTAACCACAGAGATCGCAATGCCACATTGCTGCTCTGGTTTAACTACTGACAAAGCAATGTCAGCTAGCTGTTCTGATTTAACCACAGACATGGCAATGCCAGTTAGCAGCTCTTGTTTATGTTGCTATTTCTTGATGGCATCTTTTGTTAGCTTTCCTCTCATTCCTGGTGAGATTCAAACCATGTAAATCAGTGTGTATAGTATGCATGATTTTTAAACATTTCTGTCCCATCATATTTTAATTAAGGTACAGGGCATCTCAGGGACAAATTCTAATAAAAATGCTATACACACTTAAGGTGCATTGAGAGTTGCAAGCATAAAGGCCTTGCAGCATTGCTGTATCTGTGGTATTTGAACATCTTTAAATTTGAAATGCTGCTAAGTCTCTGTTTTCACTATATGTGTTGTTTACCCCGGTGTGTTCTTTTATGTAGACAACTTTTGTGATATCTCACAAATATATTATTAATATATTTTAATGTAAACTGTTAGAATTCAAATGATTCATTATATCAGCCAGGAACTTATGTTGACATAATGGACTTAAGGATGTACAATAAGACCATTTTAGAGTAGAACATTCAAGTAGCACGATTTCAAATTATTACGTTTTAGTTGTAAACCTAAAACATTGTCAAAACACTTTTAAAATGGTGTGGGGAACTTACAAAACGCTACCAAATATGGCAAGTTTGTTAGAAAATCACTGCCAAATATGGTCAGGTTTAGTTACAAAACACTGCCAAGTATGGTCAGGTTTAGTTATGAAACGCTGCCGAGTATGGTCAGTTTTAGTTATATGTAAAACACTGCCAAATATGGTCAGGTTTAGTTATAAAACACTGCCAATTATGGTCGGGTTAGGTAAATATGCACTGCCAAAAGTATGATCCATTGGGTTGATGTCATTCACAAAACTGGTATTGTTAAAGGAAAGCTATACCCAAATAATTTTAATTGTGGTATAGATTTTCAACCCCCATTCACTCATCTTTTGTCACATATAAAAAAGCATATCTTAGCATTTGTAATCATTATAAGATAACAAAAAAATGCATATTCTCATATTGACCATTTTCATGCAAAACAGCCATATATCAGCTTAACATACGTCTTTATATGTATCGGATGTCCCAAAATTGTATCCAAATATAACAGAATCAATTGTTTTTGCTTCATCAAAAAATGGTGTTTTCTTATGTTTTAAGAATTTATTTTCCACTTAGAACATTTTCTTCATCATTCGCAGAGTTTTTCCATGTTTGTCTTGGTGCAATTTTTTAAACATTGAAAAATGGGTATGATACTAAAACAACTTTTTTCTCTTGAACTTATACCTGGTGAAACTTACAGATGTTAATGATAATTGAATTGTCTGTCACATGACCAAGTTTCAAGAACATTTCTTCATCACTCAGAGTAATTCTATGTTTGCTTCGGTACAATTTTTGGGACACCTTGTATTTAAAGATGTAATGCATCTCGTGGATTATGATTTTAGATGATCTGTGAAATGTACCCATCATAAGTTCAGCTTTTTAGCAAAGATTGCAGAAGTAGCTTTCTTTTCATTTGATTTACAAAAGTTAAGACATTCATGAAAATAAGCAAGATATGTAGTCAGCAGGTTGATGAAAAATGTTGGGGTATACTCCTTGAAGCTGTGTGTATTCTGTACTGCAATGAATAGATTGCTGATGTATACATTGCACTGCAATGAATGGTCTGCTATGTGCTGACTGGTGTATACATTGTACTGCAATGAATGGCCTGCTACATCTATACATTGTACTACAATGAATGGTCTGCTACATCTATACATTGCACTGCTACATCTATACATTGCACTGCAATGAATGGTCCGCTACATCTATACATTGTACTGCAATGGACAGTCTGCTACATCTATACATTGCACTGCAATGAATGGTCTGCTACATCTATACATTGTACTGCAATGAACAGTCTGCTATATCTATACATTGTACTGCAATGAACAGTCTGCTACATCTACATATTGCACTACAATGAATGGTCTGCTACATCTATACATTGCACTACAATGAATGGTCTGCTACATCTATACATTGCACTGCAATGAATGGTCCGCTACATCTATACATTGTACTGCAATGGACAGTCTGCTACATCTATACATTGCACTGCAATGAATGGTCTGCTACATCTATACATTGTACTGCAATGAACAGTCTGCTATATCTATACATTGTACTGCAATGAACAGTCTGCTACATCTATACATTGCACTGCAATGAATGGACTGCTATGTGCTGACTGGTGTATACATTGTACTGCAATGAATGGCCTGCTACATCTATACATTGTACTACAAAGAATGATCCCTGCTGAGCTGATGAATTCATTGTACCTCAGTGAATGGTCTACTATGTCCAGTTGAGAAATCTACATTAATTTTACAGATTTTTGCTTTAGCTTTAAAAACTTTTCTTTTCACTATTATTGGTGTATCGGTTGCAAGATGTACAGAGATGTATCTATTATGAAATAATTGTAGATAGCTACTGAATTACAAGTAGCTTGTAGAGTATATTGAGAAACCAGTTAAAATCTATCATAGTTTGTTGTTCTTTCAAATGTTTATATGTTTTATGTTATATTCTTCTTGGAGTTCTATTATATGTTAAGTCTACCAATCATTACACCCCTAACATATAAAGTATATACACTCAGTATGAGTAATCTTGATTCTGGTTGTTGAGTAAATTAAAGCAAGTAGTGTATGGTATATACATATTTAAAGCAAGACATAAGAAAAACAAAAATAATTTTCTTGTATTTGTTTGTTTTGATAGAGGAAAACAGTGTTCTATTTGAAATCGTTATGTATGTAGAATTATACATATACCACTTAGGGGTGGGATAAAAATGTATTTTTATATCTATTAAATAGTCACAACTGAGTACACACTAAGCAACACAGAGACAGTTGTCATAGCAACACTTTGTTCAAAATGTTGTGAGAGAAGACAATAAATATACTATAATACAAATCCCATTATATTATTTATTGTGTTCCTATTAGCAAGTTTAAAAAATGTTTTGTTGTATTCCTTCGTCACATGCCTTGCAAATTCTGTAACATATTCCTGAATAACCTACTTTTTGAACCATTGATTTCTGTGACAAACTCCAAAATGACCTGCTCTGTGGACCATTGATTTATAAAATAAAATGACCTCATTTCAAAATGACCTACTCTGTGGACCATTGAATTCTTAATTAACACATAACAAAATGACCTATTCTGTGGACCATTGAATTCTTAATTAACACATAACAAAATGACCTATTCCGTGGACCATTGAATTCTATAACACATTACAAAATGACCTACTCTGTGGACCATTGAATTCTATAACACATTACAAAATGACCTACTCTGTGGACCAATGAATTCTATAACACATTACAAAATGACCTACTCTGTGGACCATTAAATTCTATAATACATTACAAAATGACCTGCTCTGTGGACCATTCAATTCTTTAACATATTACAAAATGACCTACTCTGTGGACCATTGAATTCTATAATACATTACAAAATGACCTGCTCTGTGGACCATTCAATTCTTTAACATATTACAAAATGACCTACTCTGTGGACCATTGAATTCTATAACACATTACAAAATGACCTACTCTGTGGACCATTGAATTCTATAACACATTACAAAGTGACCTACTTTGTGGACCATTGAATTCCATAACACATTACAAAATGTCCTGCTCTGTGAATCATTGAATTCTGTAACATATTCTGTGACCTATTTATAAACTCTAGGGTGAACCAAATACTTCAACCCAGACATAAAAATATCTATAAGTTTGTTTCACATTGTCACCAATCCTCAGCAGTATTATCAAAAATGGTGGGAAAATCCATTCAGTGACTTGATTTCAGCTAAACCAATTAAAATCGTTGCATCCAAATATTCTACCATGTAACCCAAAAAAGTTCTAATTCATCTCCGAAATTGTAGACATTTAATGAACAGGCTCATTTAGGATGAGATTAACTCATCAAACCCTTTACTAAGTGATATCAAAGGGCAATGAACCAATAAACATGAAAATATTGATTTAATTTTCCTGGAAAACTGACTCTGTAACAAATGGCCGTGAACATGTATAACCTTTTCAATGCGATAATAAATGAATCTAAAATATATTCCTGTCTCCATGGTCAGAAAAAAGTCATAATCTAAGATATAACCATCTCAAAATTGTTTGCGATAACATATGTGGCCTTTTGCAATGGAATAGCATTTATAGATTGCTTTATCAATGTAAAGTACAGTATAAGCCCTCCTACAGTCTTAGAGAGGCTTTGAAAAAAAAATACTGTATAGCCCCAGACTGACCCCTTTCAATATGAGCTGTTAGTGTTGCCCAGAACTGATGGTTGTATTACTCCCAGAGCTTCAATTGTATGCTTGTTGGGACAATCACAAATGTCATGGTTGCATAGGGCAGCAGAATAAGAATGTTCAATGTGGAGATAATCAAATGAACAATATATATTTATACTGTTTTCTTAACATAAAGTCTATTTTTATAAAACAAAAAAGTCCTAGAAACTTGTAAACAATTATAAAACCTGGCAAAAATAGAGAACTATAATTTATAAATATAATAATGTACAAGGTAGCCCCAAAAATGCAACACTCTAACTTAAAAATAATCTTGTGTATTAGTGTCAGTGTTCGATGGAGCAAATAGTGACATCTACAACTTTGAAATTTAAAGAAATCATGTGTTCCATAAATAAAAGCTCTCATTTTGAATTATCTAAAAATGAAATTTTCTGGAATTGAGATTTCTGTTTTTGCAATTATTTGAGTAATTGAGATATTTTAGAAAGCTGGATTTTTGGGTTCCTTGTATATATAAAACTTATTCTATGCATAACATATGCAAACATAAATTCACTGACATGAGCATTGTTAAACTGATAAGCAATACAAAATTGGCAAGTCCAGTATATGTTGGCACTGATTGATTCTGGAAACTTGAATACATCTACATTAGTTCATACTTGAAAAGAACTACAACATGAAATAGTTGAGTACAACCACTGTAGCTATAGTTATAGCAGTTACACTTGAGTACACACTAAATACAACTACATTAGGTTGAGTACAAATACAGTGGGTTACACTTGAGTAAAACTAGATTTACCCTTGAGTACTACTTCAGAAGTTACACTGAAGTACTACTAAGTAGCGCTAGCTGAGTACAACTATGGCAGTTTGAGTACAAATATAATAGGTTACACTTGAGTAAAACTAGTTACACTTGAGTACTACATTAGCAGTTACACTAAAGTACAACTTAAGTAGCTGAGTACAACTATAGCAGTTTGACTTGAGTACACAAACAGGTAGGTTATATTTGAGTGAAAATACAGTTACACTTGAGTACAGTGGTTTATACTTAAGTGCAACTCCAGCTCCAGAACTTACATTTAAGTACAACTAATGCAGTTACATATGAATAAAACAATAATGTGTCGCACTGGTGAACTAACTAAAATATGTCATTGTTTTGTTTTCATCTATATTTTTGGTTACATTTGAGTTAAATTAATGACTTAAACACTCAAACTCGAGTACAATTATATTACACTTTGATAATTATATAAAAATAAGCTCATTTGAATAAAATACAAAATGCTGAACTCAAAATTTTCAATTTCATGTAACAAATATAATATTTAGAATAGAATACGAAAATAATATGTCAGAGTTCATGTTGCCACTGGTTGCAAATACAATTGTTGACATGTGTATCAAAATACATATGAGTTATTGTATGATCATACTGGAAAGCAATGAAGCAAAAATACAAAACTTAATTTATCTGAAGAAACTGTAAATACAATGTACATACTTGTAAATACAATGCATTGCACTTGAGTAGAGATACAATAGGCTACTGTACATTCAAAGACAATGTTTTGCATTTATCTCAATTAGCTTTACAAGAGACAGAATGAACAATGCATATGTAAACCTAGATGGGCTGAGTTCATAGTTTGACAATATCATGATTATTGTCAGGTAGCCCCCAAAACTAAGAAGTTCGAAACTTTCATTTCGAATCATTCCATTAAACTAAAAACTGTAGCAAACTCTGTACAGGGTGGTACAAAAACATAGAATCTTAAAAGTCATATATCCAGTTCAACACATGAATCATCTAAAATGATTTTGGAGTGTATGAGTCCATGTTTCTGTGCCACTCTGTAGTTTTACATATATGTATATCAAGATTTCTTCCTTCTTCTTGTTTTTCCTATCTCCATTGTCTTTTAAGTGTCTTATCACAAATGACAACTTCTCTTACATATTATATGTATATACATATCCCTACATAAACTCTGCTTGTTGGGATATAACATCTACATGTACTTGTAACATAGTCCTAGTGACTTGTGAAAATACATCAATCCAAAATGTGTACCTGTACTTATTACCCTGTATGTCTGTTACCCTGTATGTCCAGTAAAATGAAATACATAAAAGATAAACAAGAACAAAATTATTTAAATCAATTCAATTGATATAAAGAGGTTCAATATTTTAAAATAATATTTGAGAAAAATAAAACACAATATAAAATGGTCAATGAGAAGGCATATTTTGGCCTTCAACATAGCACTCAGACAAAAATAATTATTCAACAAGAAGTTTTACAATCTATGTCAATATGTGAAAAGGGAGATTGAAACGACTTCATGTATGACACATACATCATGCAAAGCTAACTGTATGACACATGAATAATGTAAGACTACATGCATCATGTCAGACTAAATATATCGCACATACATAATGTCAGACTCAGGTATGACACATACATCATGTCAGGCTACATGTATGACACATTCATCATATCAGACAACATGTATGACACATGCATCATGTGGGGCCATCATGTCAGACTACATGTATGACACACACATCATGTCAGACTACATGTATGACACATTCATCATATCAGACAACATGTATGACACATACATCATATCAAACTACATGTATGACACATACATCATGAAAGGCTAACTGTATGACACATGCATAATGTAATTCTACATGCGCATGACTCATACATCATGTCAGACTACATGTATGACACATACATCATGTTAGACTACATGTATGACACATACATCATGTTAGACTACACGTATGACTCATACATCATGTCAGACTACACGTGTGACACATACATCATGTTAGACTACATGTATGACACATACATCATGTTAGACTACATGTTTGACTCATACATCATGTCAGACTACATGTATGACTCATACATCATGCCAGACTACACGTATGACACATACATCATGTTAGACTACATGTATGACACATATATCATGTTAGACTACATGTATGACACATATATCATGTCAGACTACATGTATGGTACATACATCACGTCAGACTACATATCTGACACATACATCATGTTAGATTACAAGAATGACACACACATCATGTCAGATTACATGTATGGTACATATACATCATGCATCATTACATCATATGAATGTTCTGGTCAACGGTTATTTAATACACTGACAGCATCAAGTATTGCTTGGGGAGTACTCTGGGTAATAGTTGATTCACTTATATCAGCAAATATTTCATTTGTATCTTGTCTAATGACTTCAGAGATAGTCTGAGGAATGTCTTTGACTGGTTCACCCAACTCACTAGTAAGACTGTTCAGTTGTTCTAGTTCAGATGTGATTTCACCATTATGGATATCCCCATTACCCTGGTATAAGAGGTCATCTGGCAGACTGGCTATGTCTTGGAGAAATGATGCAAAGAAATCATCATGCATACCAAATGTTGCTTCTTTGGTATATGTGCTGTCTCTATCGTGGTTAACATCCTCATCTCTATTTGGCAGTTCTTGAGAAGATGTGGTCATAACAGAGCATGGCTCTTTACTCATGGATAATGTACATGCTGATTCATTTGGGTTATTGCAAATCTTGTCACTCTGAATATTGCTCAAACTTGTACAGTTCTCATTATTACATCTACTGTTCTTGCTTTCAGTTTCACCTGGACTGATGATTTCATTGTTGTTCAAGTCATGACAATCAGGCGTTGTGTCATTTTCAGCATCAATGACTGAGGGTATTTGCTCACAATATAACTCAGCTATATTGTTACTGTCCGGGCAGTCTGGTATCACATGGTTGTTATTGGATCTAATCTCATTCTCCACATAGTTTGCAGATGGAGACACGTTTTTGCATTGTTCTACTGTAACATTTGGAAATGGATGTAAAGGTTGACATGTTCCGTCTTTCTCTGTAGTACATGTACAGGGAAGCTCCTCAGCTGATTCACAGAGATTCTCATCTCTAGTTTCTGCACAATCAGCATGGAGCAGCTCATTGTCAACCATGCTTTCCAATTCTTCATGGTTATCGAATATACCAATTTCCTGGCAGAGCTGGTACAACACATCAGATGTATCTAACTGTTCATCATTAGCTTCATTGTTCATTGGCTTCTTGCTCCCATCATTCTTGTCATCTTTGTTTGCATTATCATCATTCTTGTCATCTTTGTTTGCATCATCATCTTTCTTGTCATCTTTGTCTGCATCATCTTTGTTTGTTTTTTGCTCAAATATATCACTTCTCCTAGACTTAAAGAATTGAATAATGTCAGATTTCTCAAAGTTCTCAAGCTGGTTGAGAAGAGTTTCAAGCATTGGATTATTGTGGTAGTGATGTTTTATGGTACTCATAGGAGGGGCATTGTCTTGGTCACTTGTACCTGTCTGTCTATCACTGCTGCTGCTCTGTTGAGCTGTTCTGACAATTGTCTCTGCTGGTTCAACACTACCACCAACTGAAATGTATTTAAATTATTTCAATTTTACAAGTACATATTTGCTACAATATTTTGACATTAATCAAGAACTAAAAACAATAGAGCAGAGCTTCCCAGAGGTTCCCTGAAGGTAGGACACTTTTGCCTCATTTTACATCCAATATGGCACATACAGTAAGAAATTGTAGAGTTCAAAGTATATGGATCTGATCTGATCATTTAGTGAAGAAGTGAACCAAATAACAGCAGGCATGGCCAATAAATAAATTGGTGAAGTTATTGAAGCATTCTGCCTGTGCTTTCTTGCAACAGCCAAAGTAAACCATGAACAGCAAGTACTGGATTTATATTTGTCTTCTTTCCTCAACAATGTGTATCACATCATACATAATGGTCTTAAATCTGAACAAAAACACCTTTAGCTATATTTACCTAAGCTACTAATGTCCAGTTGGTGCTTACTAGCAATCTGCCTTGCTTCAATGGTGTTCCCTGTGCATGCCTTGTAGACAACATCTATAGCCATGTGCTGTGCTCGTTCCACAATAACATGCAATCTACCCAGAATATGTCTTCTATACCTGAAATGATTTACTTATTAATGAATATGACATTGCACTGTATTGTGGTGTATTGTAGTATTGTACTGTACTGTAGTCTGTTGTATTAGATTGACACAATATCCATAAATCAGATAGCAGTGCTGCAGGCCTCTGTAGCAAAGGGTGTTGAAATGAGTCAATACAATTACTTCATTTAACCAGAAAAGTCTTTAACTTTTCTCATTATATAACATAGTTTAATTGTGTGCCCTTGGTCCCAGACTTTGAATTTGTGAACACATATTCAAATTCTGGTAACAAGATATTCGTTATTTAATCATACTACAATTCATTGAGTCATGGGTTTAAATCCTTTATGCTAACTGATGTAATTTTGACTTACCCTCCCTTAGTGCTGAATTCTTGTTGACATTGTAAACAGTAATGTTTCTCCTTGATGTGCACTTCCATATGTTTCCGTTTCTTCACCTAGTAAAGAATTAAAAAAATTATTGCTCACTACAGCTGTTAATGTAAATATAAAGCAATATTTACTACCATGCAAACTATGAAATAAATGCAACAATATTATATGATAAGTATCTGGTAAATGTTATTAGACCTCTTTTTTCTGAAAAAAGGAAAGGTAGAACAATCTCGGAATAAGCCTCCATCCATCTTTCCTTTTTATTTTATATCTCCAAAACTTGCACATGCAGTAAAACCCACAGTGAACACCTTGCTCTAGTGAATACCTGTGTCTAGTGAACAACTTTTCTCAGCACATACTCCACTAAGTTCTTTATAAAATTGCCTCTCTGTAATGAACATCAGGTGTTCACTGTATATAGGTTTTACTGTACATGTTATACAAAATCTGAACTTACTTCATTTGGGAACACAATCTTGCATCTGTAACACCTGAACCTATGATCTTTCAATGTATGCTCTCTAACATCACGTCGAATCTTAGAAGAAAACCTTTTACAAAATACACAGTGATGAACTCGACTTTTCACATTTTCTTCCTTTGTTATTGTCTTGAATCGAACTAATCCAGGCTTGGCTTTACTAGGGTCATTGGATTTTGTAATTTTCTTGGTTTTGTTTGAGTTTGAGGTTCCATTTAGAAATGGCATATTTTTAGATTCAAGTTTCTTAATGGTAATTCTTGGTGATTTCTCACAAAAGCATTTTTTTGCTAAGTTTCTTTTGGAACGCTTGTTTGAAGTTCCCTTTTCACGATTGTGGTTAATGTTACTTTTGGCAGATCGATGACATGGTCCAGAATCATCAATGAAATCAGACATCCTTTTTTCTTTTTGTTCAGATGAAGGTTTTTGTTTTGGGGGTTTCAATATGTGAATTCCTCTCTTAACTTGAGTTAGAAACTCCATGTGATTTAACATTGAGTCAAGAACAGCTTCCGTCTCTTTTTGAATAGCAGGTTCTTTTTCATCACTTTCATTCTGCGTTAAGATACCACTCTCCACATTTATATTGGTTTGTTCTTTAAGCTGATTGCTTGGTTCTTCTAGATTTATATCCTTAATTGGGCTGGTATTTTCACTATCCCTGTTACCATCACTTACTTCAGAGTCCTTATTTGGATGTTCAGCATCAGATTCAAACCTAACAACAGTGCTCTCAGATTCACACGGCACTTCATCTGTCACATTTTGAGTTTTTGCTTTTCCCAGGTTCTCTGATTCAAGATCAGTCATTACTTCCTTGGGGGAATGAGGAACTATCAGTATATCTGCATCATTGTCTGTAGCATTATCTCCATCTGAAATCTTGTATCCTGATCTTTGAATACAAGGGGGTACTAAAGTTAATGGAGTCTCATCTTTATCAGGAGTATCAATGCTGAAGTTTTCACAGTTTTCATCTTCACTTGCATCACTTGAAAGTACTATGCACTCGGGAATATCAAACTCTTCAATTTCTTTTTCCCTCTTGAATTTATACACAGTTCCACTGCGTGTGACATGTTGATTATTGTCAGGTTCAGAGACATCTGGTTCCTTCCTGGGAATTTTATGCTCCCTTGGATGAGATTTGTGGAGCCCCAACTCCTTGTATGTCTTTTCTTGGTCTACGTAAAATGTTTTCTTTGTAGTAGGCTGGAGATAACTCATTCCAGCTAATCTTGTAGCACCAGCACTAGCACCCAAATTAAACTTCCTCTTTCCACTTGGCTTTTTATTCTTATTTGTTTCTTTATTCTGATGAGGTTGTGGTACTGTCTTGTTTGCAGATTCAATAGCTTTGTGTTTCATCCTGTTAAGTGCAGTTGGTGATGTATGTATCCATCCCCATTCATCCCACTGGAATCCTCCATTCCGATAGCTCCTCTTTTTGGTCCGTGATCGGGTCAAGACATGTGACTTCATCACAGACATTTTCACCACCTGCTGTTTCTTTTCCTGATTGCGACTCTGACCCCCTTTAGCCACCTGGGGCTTTGCTGGCCTTTCTGATTTTTTGTTCTGCTGTGTTTTATCACTATCTATGATAGTTAGATCAGCTAACTCCACTTCAAAATCCTTTGTTCTCTCATCATCATGTCCATCTTGCTCAGCTGTTGATTGGTGCACCTCATCAGTTACCTTATAAGTCATATCATCAAGCAACCAACATATCTCAACACCATCATGTGTTATACTGTCTTCTCCAAACACTTTACTAATATTGTTCCTAATAACTTCTTTTGAATTGCTATCATCAAATGATGTCTTCAGCTTGAAGCTTTCTTGTCGGAGTATAGCTTTAGTTTCCCTTGCTACAACATATGTATATTGAAGTGTGCTTGATCTTTCCTCATTGGGGATGGTCACTTTTCTCTTTGGTTTTGATCTCGTATTTTTGGCCACTTTGGGAGAGGAAATCTCTATTTTCTTTTTGTTCACTTCCTGATTTGTACTAACAAACATATCATTGATTAGGAGACTGCTTTGCTCTATAACACTTGTAAACGTACACAGTTCACTAGCATAATATACAGCATCAACTGCATCGTACCAATTGTTGTTTTCAATCAGTTCATTAATAAGAACTGCGCCTGTATCATCATCCTCCCATTCATCATGGACTTCCACTTCATACTCATTTTCAGCACAATTTATAGGTGTATGAAGAACACCTCCTTTAGGATCCAACCAACTTTGTTTATGTATGATTTCTAACTCTGTTTTACCTGTCAGTACAAGTGGTCGGGATCCTTGTAATCTTGGATCAGTACCAGTCAGGTTTAAGTGTCCAGGTGGAGGGTTATGCTCCTCATGAGTTTCCGTTGGCTTTTGGTGGCAAGAGTCATGATCCTCACATGCAGTTATCATATTATCCTCCTCATAGTTGTCAAGTATACTGTCACTGGTAGGACCTTCTGATATGCTTGTCTTGGGGTTAGTTCTTGAAAATATACTTGAGCCTTTACCAATAATGTTAGACTTTGCCAAGTCCATTATATGTTGTACCGGATTAACCTCCTTTGGTGTGACAACAATGGATCTCAAATTAGCCATGTTCTCAGCTGGTGATTGGTCAAGATTAAGGATGTTTTTAGCTGGTTGCACCTTTGGATTGTGGTTCACAACTGATTCACAACTGAGGTGATTAGACACCCTTGGAGAACCAACCTGATTTATCTGCTGTTGCATAAGACTCTGTATACTACAATCAGCAAAGGGTTGAGGGGGAACTCCATTGGGAATACTGTTATGATGTAAACTATGAATCCTTGGTATGAGATGGTTCACTGAGGTGATGAATCCTGACTGAATTGCAGATCTATTTGCGTTGAACTGCTGTTGACTTAATGAGATTTGGGGTGCTACCTGAGATTGTGGAGGTATATGAGGTATCAATGGGGATAATGTTAACTGACCATGTTTGAACTGGGCAAGTGCATGTCCTGCCACTGGCCTCACACACACATTGTTCAAAACATTTTTTGGAAACACTTGCTGCATCGTTTGGTTGCTGTTTAATGGCGTTACATTTTGATGTTGTCCAGATTTTGGAACTGAACAATTTGAAGCAATACGCCCCTCACTTCCAGGTATAAAAATTGCACAATTTGGTGTCATTCTGACTAAATGAAGATCATATGTTTTATTCTTGATTTGAACTCCACATTGATCAAGTCTTGGCTCATAAAGTGCTCCTAAATGTTGAAGTGTATCATCAACTGCTGACCTTTGAATTAGATCCATGTACCTTTCATTAGCTTTAACTGAACTATGTTGTTTGAATATGTTCTTTGCCTTCAAGTTAGTGGAACAATTATCATACAATTTATGTGTATTTGCCTGTGATGTTGCTGCAACTGGAGTTAATGTACAGTTTGATTTCTCATATTCCAGCCTGGAAGATTCATTTATAGAATCATTCTGAAGACTGACTTTAGCAATGGTGGCCTCATTATTAGTTGTTGGTGGCTTTTTCACAGACTGAGTAGATCCTCCTGCCTCTGCGCAAAGATTCACTTTTCTCTGAAAAATACTTGTTGGCTGTTTCCTATCAACTTTTTGTATTACTTTATAATTTATCAGTGGATTTGCCAAAACTGGCTCACTTGAGACTCTCTTGATATGACTAGTTGTTTGTACAGAAGCTCTTATGTTTCCATGTGATCCATATGTTGAGGGATCTAAATGGGTTCTGTTTTCATCCTGTGTCCCCATGTGGCTATGAGTTCCGATGGGGCTCAAACAGGAAAGGATTTTCCCACAGCCAGTAGGAGCTTTATGTGGTACATCATTTTCACTTAACTCTTTGGTAGTCTGATAGGTTTGTGAACTTGATTCAATACTTTGCTGAGATGCTACTTGGAGTTCTCTATGTGAAACCTTTGTGTCTTCAACTTCAACAGGACAAAGACCTACGTTTGCTTCATCAGTTTGACTGTCAATAAGCCAGTTCAACACTTTATTATAAGTAAGGCTGTTCTCTTCTACACCAGTCTTTTTCAGACCTTTAGTTTCTGCATGTGTCCCATCATTAATGTTGGCAGGATTCTGGTTAACCTCACTTCTAACATCACTGTGTTCAACATCACAATGGTGGTGATTTTCCTCTATTGACTCACAATCAGCTAAACTATCACTTATATCTATGACTTCAATATGTTCACTGTTCCACTTTGACACAAAGGGTTCAATTTTAATTCTAGCTGTAGCATGTTCATTCTCATCTTCTAGATTTGGTTTTTCAGAATTTACTGACTCAGTTATATTTTGTTGACTCAAATTACTTTCAAGATAGAAGTTCCTCCTTATTTTGACTCTTTTGATTGGCCTGGGTGAAGTTGGTGCACTGGCTGTTTCAAGTTTATGTTCCCTAGCTATATTCTTCGGTGACAATGACCTTGACCTTCTCTTCATGTTAGTTGGCATGTTGATGGTTGAATCTGGCCTAATTCATCCGAATCTGCAATCAAATAGAAATGAAGCCTTATTTATAACCTGATAACATTTGATCCAGTTGAGTGAGCTTGGCATGGTATCAGTACTTGGAGCACATTTTGTAAAATGATCATAAAATTGTGACTATTGGAAACAAACCTATGAAACCTATGGATGAAAAAGTTATCAACATTTGTTTCGGTTAACTTTTTAAACTTTTTTAGTAAATACAAAAATGTTGAATTTAGAAAATTGAAGTTAAGGGATTCCCTCTTAATCAGAGGTTGTAATAATGCATAATGCATTCACACATACATGTAGCTAGGTTGTTTTAGGTGATAATATATGGAATCCCTGCAATGTTTGAAACGAATTTAAGCCTAGGACTCAATGCTTGCATTGTGTTTGATTCATTTAACTAATGCGCTGTTCCCTTGACGATGCCCACTCATGCACATCTGTGGAAACAACATCTTCATGGAATAAATCAACCCACAATGAATTGACTTCAGGGCTTAAATCCAATTCTTTTTTGAAATCAGACAGAAGTTGGTAAAGAGACATTCAAGATCAATTGAACCGAACATGTAATTTTTTATGGAAAATGCCACTTTGAAGGGTCAATCAAAATAAGACCAGGTACATGTATGGTATGCTGTCCAACTGTCCCGCAATTTGCGTTATTGTCACACATTTCCAAAAGGAATTAAAGTGAAGCCTATTTTTTGCATGACAGAATGTCACAGGTACTACCTGGGTAATAAGAGTCGGGGCCTCCTGCAATTAAAGAAATCAAAAAAAGGTGGGTCGAGAATCAAAAAGGCAATGGGTGGAATATATTCAGATTATTAGCAAGTCACCCATTGCAATGTGGTAGAATCACAATCAAATCCATTGAAACATTCTGATCTCTTAGCCTCACTGCTACCCACCTAGTTACACAGACGTATCGCCAGTGTATCATGGCTGAACTACTTCCGGGATTTGAATTTGGTAAGATATTTTTATATCTCGATTTACATCTACTTATAAGTCACGATGTGGATTATAATTTGGCTCGAAGTTATGGGAGATAGTCTAGTTTGAGAATGTGTTGATGGTTTTAGGTTTGGTATGTTAACGAAGACGCATTTCACATATTTAGTCCCTCGCTTTTGTTACACTGACGATCGGCATTAATATTGCCAATATTACACTGATATTGGTCGTACGTCAGTGTAACAAAAGCGAGGGACTAAATATGTGAATTGTGTCTTCGTTAACATATAAAACCTAAAACCATCGACACATTCTCAAACAAGAATATCTTCCTAAACTTCGAGCCAAATTATTATCCACAATGTGACTTATAAGTAGGTGTAAATCGGGAAATAAAAAATCTTACCGAAACCTAGTCCCGGAAGTAGTTCCCGCATGATACACTGACGATACGTCTGTGTAACTAGGTGGGTAGCAGTGAGCCTGGGTATTTGTATTTTGAATGTTGAGTATTTGACTGATGTACTGTGAGAGTTATAAGAATGTACTCTAACAGGAAGATGGTACTGGGTTGAGCCTAAGAAGGTGCACGGTGGTTCAGGTCTGCACAAAAAATATCAAAATGATGGACTTAAAACGTGAACATTTTCATACATAAATCATAATTTTTCTAACCCATTTTGATGTTGTTAAATAAAAACTAGTACTAAGATACCTTGGCAACACCGATTGTTGACATCATAGAGGTAAGTTTAAGGTGGAAATCACACAAGGAGCAATTCAGAAGAATACAATTACACCAAAGAGCAATTAAAGATCAATCAGATGATATCATAGAGAAATTACATACAAACTCAGCAGAAATTATGTCAACAACAACATGGCTGCTGAACAGAAATTCAAGTACAGCATCAAATTAGAAGCAGTGCATCAAGTTCTATATATACTCCTTGGTCAATTCAAACAGGATACAATAAAGCATTCATGAAACCTATTGGAAGGACACTATATGTATCTACACTTGGCATATATCATTGGTCCCCTCTTATGTCACCCTTTCTTTTTGTCACCAACCCTTGTAACACCCCCCTTTTCACCATCTTGTGACACCCACCCCTCCTATGGAGTGACACATTCCACCTGTGTGACATCCTCCTCTCATGCGATCCCCCTTTTTTGACACCACATGCCGGATGTGATTTACAAGGAGGGGGGGGGGGGGTGTGGGTAGGAACAAGAAAATTTGAAGCACATGCCTGATGTCGTATAAATTATGAGTGTAATTTCGCACAGGTCAACAGAAAGAAACAGTGAACCCTGCTTTCCCAAACCCGGGTTTCTTGTATACCTTGCATGCCTTTGACTCTCTGTTACTGTCTCTATCTATTGATACAATAATGAATAAATAGTAAAATTCCCCCCCCTCATTCCCATCCTGGCTAGCCTTGCAGATAGTCTAGTCATATGTACTTCATTCTTACCCACACTTCGAGAAATATATAAATTTGAGATAGGGATTATCAACTTACCTCATATGGTCCATTTTTATGGGTTTTTTCGCCAAAGAGCTCTCATTCAGAAATGTAAACAATTTTGACAGATTTAAATCGAGCACATGTTATGATGACGTCACTCACAATTTAGCTAAATCGAGTAATCCTTGCTAACGACTGCTGTTGTTCTCAGGGAGAAACTTACTCTTAGATGTCATACCGGCAAAACTGCCCTAATTCACGTCACCATACTAGTCAATGGGCAAAAGGGCAAACGCCTGAC